CCTCGTGTAGCTTTGCGCGAAATTCAAAAACAAACAACACTCACTCCAGAAAAAATCAACATGAAAGGTTTCAGTACTTTTTATGGCTTATTAAAAAGTGGGCTACTTCAAGGGACTAAAACGAAATTATGACAAGAGAAACAGTATATGTTTAAAATAATGAAAGTGCAAAAAAATACACTTCAGATTTTGGAACGCAAGACTTTAATCATTACGTGTAAAATTACAATTTTGTCTTCTACTGTAGCGCTGTAAGTCATATCAACGGTGTAAATCAATAAATATATAGCGAGAAACTGAAAGCAGCGGAGTTTCGGAGGCGTATCTTTTACGGCGCTGACAGAAAGTAAAGCTGATACGGATTACGGTTGACTACTAGAAAGGAATGGTTGACAACCAACTTTGAATAAAACAGAAAGTTTTAAGACGCCACGTTCAAAAAACCTTTATATTGTAATCCGTAATGTCTCAGTGATATGTCTGTAGGCTTACGATGCTAAAAATTGAGTTTCAATACCCGTGGTGGGCAAAGCACAGATAGTCCATTATGTAATTTTGTGTTTAATTGCAACCAAACCAAATTTGTTTAAACGGACTGTATTTTTATTATAAGATAGAGCTTTTTAAGCATATTCGATGGCTTGATTCCTAAACTTTTACAATGAACACTTAATACCTTTACATATTTCGACCGTAAATATATATATATATATGCAACACAACTGCAGGTTTTCTATTTCTTACTTACCTCATTTCATGATTTGTTACTTTATCATATACATTGAAATTCTCTTTTTTTTTTCTTAAATTACAAAAACTTTCACAATAGATAACTTAAAATTTCAAAAATATGTACTTATTGTCATCAGGACCGAAAATGTTAAATTGTTTAACCATCTGGTTATGATTACACTAAGCAATTCAAAAATATATATAGTTTTTAAACATTCCAAGTTTTACTGCTAGATAGCATATAGCTATAATTAGATGTATTAGCAATTGTTTCAATTTTAATGAAGAAACCGCTTGTTTCAGTGAATAAAATTCTCATTGAAAACATGCACAAGTTTCTGTTTTGTCAACGCATTTTATTTCATACATCATAAAACCTTAAAATGTGTAACGATCTCTATTTTTAATGAACCTCAAACTTTTTTTTACAATCTTGTCCTATTACAAATGGTTTTTAAATAAAAACTCCACGATTTTCCCATTAATTTGTAGTCCAGTTGTGCGAAGCAAGACTTTTTTTTTTACTTCAAGACCAGTAAAGCAAGACTGATTTTTTTAAAAATATTACACAGACAAAAACAAAATTAATGCGTGTTTTTACGATTTTTAAGGAAAACAATGTTACTGTCTTGTCAAAAGACGACTTTCGCGCCGACTGTTACTAACGTCTTTCTTCACGGGGTTTAAAAGAAAAAGGCAAATTTCAAATGTATCATTAATTTATAGGAAGAATTCTGAAGACAAATACGAATCTATAAATAAAAAGAAAACAATCTTACCCAGGAATATATAAGTATTTTTATAATTATATTCTTAAACTGTGAGTTAGAATATTCCAGGATCGTGGTTTTATTTACTCGAATAAACAAGGTGTGTCAGTTTTATAGGACCGGTATCATTTTACAGTAGGCGTCTATGGTGACTTGTTGACGATAAATCCGAACAATAACTTGACAGCACACGATCCACTTGTTTTAAAATAATATATCAAAAACAAGTCCAACTTATGTACAAACATTCTTTACACAATAGCCTATAGGGTATCACAGTTTTATCTAACACTATAAATAATTTTCGTTTCTTGTCAAAAGTCCACACAGGCTAATTCAGTTACTAGCATGACAAATTATTTTTCTCCATCTCTCTTTCTCGCTATACAATCTGTGGGTTACCACAGTTGTATCCCTAACTTTAAATAATTGTCTCCTTTTCGTCAAAATCCACACAGGCGGGTTCAATTACTTTAGAACACCTTTTGACAAGACAAATTATTCTCCTTATCTCTATTAAACTGCGAAACTCACTTTAAAATATCGCCCGTTATGGCTAAGCTAACCATCACACAGTCTAACTTCATTTTCACTAACTTAACTTTTTCTGACTTGACTCATGGCCACTTGATCGCCTATATATATATATTGCCCAACTGAGGTCTCTAACTGTCGAGAAACTGCGAGACGATATAATGTAACAATAGTCATTTAAGGCAACAACAAAAAATTGTAGAAGGTTCGAGTAACGTGACGTCAAATCACAACAATTGAACTACACACACAACGTACAATTCTAATTGAATTACGTAACGAAACTTGTCATAACTATCGCCTTTAAAATAATTACTTTTAACACTTTTGTTATGAAAATTCAATAATCACTCTTAAACTAAACCGTCTTGTATATTCAACATGGTGCGTACCTTGAATGTTGAAGGTTGTATAAGAACTCACATACAGATGACTTGAAATTGTGTTTACTGACGTTTTAGTTAATTATATATATTGTACATTTCTACTTGTTTACGTCTCGTCAGAAATTTGTAAATTGTTCTTTTCTAGCTGTTTCTGTATCTGTCAGCGTATGGACACTCGTGTTTATTTCCCTCGAGCGGTATTTCGCTATCTGCCGGCCGTTAATGTCCCGACAATGGCAGACGATCTCTCACGCCTACAAAATGATTATATTCGTATGGGGAGGATCCTTGGTAACTATGTTTCCGATTGCTTTCCTGAGTCAGCTCATTCATACTAATACTCCAGGTAAGTAAAAACATTCGTTTTAATATAATAATAATTATCAAAAACAATTTCAGAAGCCACGTTTAAATGCGTTAATGTTTTTAATACGTCAGTGTTTGGAATAGACTGGATGGATTATGTTTTCTATTACGTAAACGTATTGTAGCACTGAGCAGCACACAACAAACAATTAGTAGCACTGAGCAGCACACAACAAACAAATTGATTTAAATAAAAAGAACAGCCTTACAATTTTTTTCAAAAAATAAGATAAATAACGCCCTCCAGTGGCACAACAATATGTCTTCGGACTTCCAACACTATAAACAGATAGCTCATTGTGTAGCTTTATGCTTAATTACAGACAAACAAAAAATAAGAGGCAGAAGTGAAACAGGTCTAACTCGGCAACAAGCGGAGAATCGAATGATAAACTAAACGTCACATTTTTTTATCGCTAATTTTACTATCGTGTTGATGAGAGAAAACACACACACACATACACATATTCGTATCATAAACCGTTTAATTGATGAAGAATAATAGAATAATCATTCAGTATCATTAATGCTGCATATTCTTCAAACGCCTCTATAACTGTAGTTTCACTGTGGTGAGTGTAAACATTTTTTTTTATTGTGAAATACTCAGGAGAAAATTGTTTACTGAATTTTGAACATTTAAATTGTATGAACACAAATGAATTAAAGCTAAATGGTTTTATAGCTACTCCTATAGGTCTACTTTATTAGATTAAATTCTTACATAATCAAGTCTTACACTAGTGGCGTAGCCTCAAGATTAGTATTCACAAACTGTGAACCCGAGGGTTAATAGTTTGCGAGCCGTTGCCGCAAAGACGCCACGAGTGCACAATAAGAGTAAGGGCTAAGTTCCGTTATTTGATCAGACAAGAGCAGTCCGAAAGTTGGCGGAGGATGCTGTAGTCTAGTCTATCATTTCAAAATTAGAGGTTTTCGCAAAAGTTCCACAAAAAATATAAACAAAACATATGTACTTTGTGTAGCACATAGGCATCAGCTAAATAATTCTTGCTAACTTGTTAAAAAACAAACAGACAAACAATTATATGAGGATGACGCAGTAGTATACGTCGAAACATGTAGTGTGTAGGAGATTGTTTTCCAATTTCATCGGGTTTTTTTACCACTTTTTATCCTGTACAGCAAGTTATTATATTTTAGTAATTTGGAGACTGGAAACAATCTCATTTTTTATAAAATTATGTATAAAATAATCGTTGTTTTTAAAAGTTTTGAGTTTTTAAGATTAAACAATTATATTTCCAATTATATTCAACTCTACTACTATTCAGATTGCACATCTTGCTTTAATAAAAGTTAAACCGAAGTTTATTTATTGTTTACTATTACAACCAAGTCTAGATTTAAACTTGTAATATTTTAATCTATTAGCTCATGTGTTTTCGTCAGTCATAATAAATATTCGTAGCGTTTTATTATTATTAGTTATTGTTTAATATGTCTTTCAAATGTAAATGTATTCTAACAACAGGGAAGTACAAATGCAGAGAAGTGTGGCCTACAACGGGAACAGAAAGAGGATTTAATTTTTTTCTAGACGTGCTTTTGTTGGTTGTTCCTGTCGTTGTCATGTCTGTGACTTATTTTTGTATTATTCGAGAATTACAGCCAGGAACCACTAGCGTGTTGTCTTTTGGTAAGAATTTGGTTTTTATAATTAGACATGATGATAGATCTAAGATACCTACTAACTTTTACAAGGTACTTGAAAGTTTAAATAAAATAAAATTTAAATAACGAGAAAAATTTCAGTAGCGCTTTGCCGATTGCTTATTTCAGCTTCTTTTGAAAAATAACAAGAGTATCCTTCACTTGTAGCCTAGTCTTATTTTCGGCATTACCGATTACTTTAAAACTGATTGGGGATAGCATAGTCTTATTTTCGGCATTACCGATTACTTTAAAACTGATTGGGGATGGAGTCACACCACATTTACTTACCGAACAATGCTTGAAATGTCCTTGAACCTACGATTAGTGTTTTTTAAAATGATTTCCCAGTCTTCTGACAGTTGAACCGACGTAAGCGAAGCGCTCCTACACGTTGGGCAACACAATTCATAAATGACGCGTAATTGTTGAGAAAATTGGATTTGATCTTTAAACTTGAACAATTCTGAAATTTCAATAGAAATCTAAACACACGCTGAAGGTGAACTTGGGGATAGACTCTGTTGATTATGATATTTTGTTACTTTTCCAGATTCGTGAGTGTGAGCCTGCATAAGGCAAATAAATTGTTACTGGACTAAAGTTGTTATAAATATTGTCATCCAGGACATTAGCTTTCTTCGAAATTAACAAGAACTTAATCTTTTGGTAGTTTAGAGAACTTGTTAGTATTACTAATTTCCTTGGTTACTTCGTTAATGTAGTCTTTTTTGATTCAAAATAACCGTGCATTTTCCTTTGTCTGGTTTGGTAAAGATAATGTTACTGTTGGATTTAAACGTGTCTAGGGCTATCTTTTCTTCTTGGCTCACTTTAAAACATTTGTACCCAAAATTATAGGAACGTTATCTCCCGAGCGGGTGACGCTGCTGATGTGTTCTAACATTATTGATGATTTCATTACTAAGTGATTAAACATCACAACGTTTGAATTTTCTTAACAAAAGTTAAAAAGAAATCAGATAATCATGATACCAAAATTTTCCTGGTACTAAAACTATTTCAAACCCCTAGAAAAACCACTTTTCGCTACTCCCCTTAGTATATAGCTACACAAGTTATGAATAACCTTGTCCGGGAAATCTAAAAACAATTCGCCTTTTATAGCATTTTTGAAGATTGCAGTTTCTTCGGGTGATTTAAACGGTATTTCTTGAACTTATTATTGTGAAAACACTCAATGAAACAATTAAAACGAACTAAATCCACTAGGCAGACAACACTAATTTGTGTTTTAAGTCTAGAAAATCTTTAAGTACTAGATTTTCTTCTCGTATTTAAGATGTAGTTTCAGAGTCCAAAAATGTGTGTTAAGTGAGTCGATATTCTTTGTCTTTCTTGAGAGTGACATTGGTAGTTTTGAAATTAAAAAAAAAAATTGGAATTAAGTCAAACATTTTGCATTTTCTAAGAAAAGAAAGATGGAGTTTGTATTCATATAATTTAACAAACATTTTCTCAAATTTACGAAACAATCTGAAAAACAAACAAAAACACAAGCCACATCTGTTTTTTATGACAGTAGGTATTGATTAATGTATAGAAAACTTGAATATAAATAATTAAGGCCTAATATTTTCATGTGCTTCAGAAATATAGTTGGCTGACGGATTGTCTTACTGAGTTCAAACCGCTTATTTACAATCGCTATGTTGATGACATATTTGTATATTCCAAAAGACTAATTAGTGAAATTGATAGAATATTTGTTTCTAGACATGCTAACATCAATTAAGCTCACCTGCGAACGCCAACACTGTTCTGTTCTACCCTTTCTTGACATATGCATGTTCAACAAACAAGCACATTTTAATGTCAGCTATTATCAGAAACCCACCTGTACCAGACTATACACCCACTTTAACAGTTTTGTTACACTTCATTCTAAAGAAAACCTTGTGAAATGTCTTATGTTCCTTGCACACCGAATCACCCGTTCATGTAAACTTTGACAGCAAGAGTTACTCAGATTCAAATGTGTTTTAAAACTTAACTCTTCCCCAGACAGCTATATGGGCTCTACCTTCAATAAACCGTTCAAAAACTACATCTATCCAGGTCACTGAACTATGAATTCCCAAATCTACAAGTAATGACCTCTCTGTCGTATACAGGCTCACATTCCCGAATCTTGAGAAAGAAACTAAACCCCATAATCAACAGAATATATTCATAAACTCACCTTTAATATGTGTTTAGACCTCAGAATTTAGGATTTTTTTCAAGATTTAAAGATCGAATCAATTTTCTCAATAGTAAAGCGTCATGTACGAATTATGCTGCCCAACGTGTGGGGTCGCTTACATTGGATAGACTGTTAGAAAACTAAGATATCATTTAAAAGAACAATAATTAATTCAAGGACAGTTCAAACATTGTTCGGCATGCACTAAGTTAATATGATGTGATCACATCCCCCAATATGTATAAAGCAATCGGTAAAGCCGAAAACGAAACTATCTGCAGGTAAAGGAAACTGTTCTAATTTTTCAAAAGAAGCCGAAATCAAACTACTAAACTTTCACACGGAATTTGGGTAGTTGAATTTAACTGACTTTTATTTTTTTTTCTTTACATGTATCTCTGGTTGCTCACATAGCTTTAACAACGAGAGCAAGTAATCTCCTTTCAGTAACGTGACAACCACTTTTAGAAGGATATCTAACTTTAAATGAGTATATATGTACAAGTAATAATATATTTAAAGAAAATCCATTACTTTCGAATTGCTCTTTCATGCGTAAATAGATCGCTGTAAAGGGCAGCGAAAAATAATCGCACACTATTAGTTTCTAGCAGTATGATGGGTATAAGATAAATCTCATCAAACATACCTTAGGTGTGAAGAAAAAAAGGCGCGGCCAAAATAGGATTGAGTGTGCGATTAAGGGAATGAAATCAAAATTGGTAGTCAAATTGGTAGCTACACTTACAGCATTGATAAAAATTTTACAGAAAATATTCATTCATTTGTAAGCTAGGCCGCGTATTTTGTTTTACCCACCATCATGCCACAATCCTGAAAAATTCTTCATCAAGCTACTTCAAATACAGAGTTTAATACACCAAGCGTGGATAAATCTTCATCAAGCTACTTTAGATACAAAGTTTATGTGGCGAAACTTGGATCGATATCATATAAGGTACTTTATGCTGAGTTTTCATATATTTCATGTTATTTCAGGTAAAATTAGACAGTGGCATATACATGTTGGAGGATATGAATTCTACTTTAATCATTATATACTACTTAAAGAGATATAATTCTCTTAGGAAATTGTTTATAGTTTTATTAATGGATAGAAGACTGCATTGGGTTAAAGTTCTTTATTTTTCTCTAAAGACAATTATCATCAGCTAAAGTGCAAATTTGGCTACAGAGCATATTTGAAAACGGGAACCTGAGAAATGATTTATTTCAACGATCTTATTATTTCACCAACAAATGAATCAAAATTCTGCCAAATTTTTAATTTATATTTTTGGATTGCTGTTGATATTAAATAACTATTAAATTACGAAACTGATTAGGCTAACAACTATCCCCAATTAAATGTTTGTGTGTATAAGTGTGAAATATATTCTCTTTAAGAATTGCTTCAGATTGCACATAGTTGTATTAGGTCATATCTTCTATCCGAAAGCTCAAATATTAGGCACTGTTTCAGTTATGGCAGCAAAAAAGTGAAATGAAACGGCATTTATTTGTTTATTAAACAAGTTCTTTCAAAACCTCACCCACGATTAATTGATTAAGATCTGTTTTATTTCACATTTTAAGTCTTACTTCTAAACGGTTTCAATGACTTGACAGAAAATCATTTTTGATTGGAAAAAGAAAGATAAAATACCTATCATAAATGTATATTAAAACTGAACCCCCCTCAAACTCCCCCCTCCCCAAAAAAAAGGAGAAAAAAACATTTTCACTTTCAAGTCATAATCCAGACAAATTTTGTTGTGTTTAAACAAGTGTAAGCCAGCGATAATGTTGGAAGAAAATACATATATGTACGGCACGCAAGTAGTTGCGTTGGGTATATAAACATCCCCTACATATTTCCTCCGTTTACATGTATTATATTTGATACTTAGGTGTACTATAACTGATATTTAATTCGCCAGTCTCCCGATACATTCATTAGCAAAATCCATTCCCACATTTCTTAAAATATTCTAGAAAAAGCTGATGAAGGAAACGCCTAAAAAGATATTTGCAGTGCTTTCCAACTACGCTACATTTGGTTGAGACCTACAAAAACTAATAACCCAAAAGTCCAGAATTCGAAAACCGAAGGTAGAACACAAAAAATACAACAGATGGACGTATAGGGAATCTGATTCAGTTAGCTAATTTCGGACTTTAATTTTAATACACAAAGTCTAGATAAACCTTCAACAAGATATCTTAGATACGAAGTTTAATATGCAAAGCCTAGATAAACCTTCTGCAAACTACCTCAGATCCGGAGTTTAATACATCAAGTCTAGATAAATCTTTAGTAAACTACTTCAAATACACAATTCAACACACTATACTTGAATAAACCTTCAGCAAGCTATCTCAGATACGAAGTTGGATACACTAAACCTGGATAAACCTTCAGCAAGCTACTTCAGATACAACGTTTGATACACCAAACCTGGATAAATCTCCATCAAGCTATTTCAGATACAAAGTTTAATACACCAAACCTGGATAAACCTTCATCAAGCTATTTCAGATACAAAGTTTAATACACGAAACGTGGACAAACTTTCATCAAGCTATTTCAGATACAAAGTTTAGTACACGAAACGTGGACAAACTTTCATCAAGCTATTTCAGATACAAAGTTTAATACACGAAACGTGGATAAACCTTCATCAAGCTATTTCAGATACAAAGTTTAGTACACGAAACGTGGACAAACTTTCATCAAGCTATTTCAGATACAAAGTTTAATACACGAAACGTGGACAAAC